TGTCTGTGTGTGTAGACGTGTGTGTGTGTCTGTGTGTGCAGAGGTGTGTGTGTCTGTGTGTGGGTGTACACGTGCGTATGCGTCTGTGTGTGTAGACATGTGTGTGTGTCTGTGGGTGTATACGTGTGTGTGCGTCTGTGTGTGCGTTTGCTCAAATCACTATTTGCTGTGCGCGCTTTCGGACCGAGTTGGCCCTTGCGTGCGCCCGCGTGTCCTGTGCGTGGGTGGAAGCGTGGGTTGTTGTGTGGGTGGTAGTGTGGGTGGGTGCATGCGTGGGTGGAAGCGTGGGTGGGTGCATGCGTGGGTGGTTGTGTGGGTGGTTGTGTGCGTGGTTGTGTGGGTGGGTGCATGCGTGGGTGGGTGCATGCGTGGGTGGAAGCGTGGGTGGTTGTGTGGGTGGTTGTGTGGGTGGTTGTGTGGGTGGGTGCATGCGTGGGTGGGTGCATGCGTGGGTGGAAGCGTGGGTGGTTGTGTGGGTGGTTGTGTGGGTGGGTGCATGCGTGGGTGGAAGCGTGGGTGGTTGTGTGGGTGGTTGTGTGGGTGGAAGCGTGGGTGGTTGTGTGGGTGGATGTGTGAGTGGGTGCGTGGGTGGGTGGGCGCCTGGCTGGCTGCGTGCGGGTGTTTGGTGCGTGCCTGCGTATTTGGCTGGGTTCATGCGTCCATGGGATGAGTGGGTGTGTGGTTGGGTGTCAGCACCCCAGCCCGGGCAGGCGGAGTGAGCTTGCAGCAGCAGCAGCGGCAGCGGCGCCCAGCGCTGTAGCCGACAGCGCAGTCGGCGAGCAGAGCCGTTCCCAGCCGCCGCGCCGCTCTCACACATTCTCCCTCTCTCCCTCCCTCCTCACCCTGACACCCCTCCTCTCCCTCCTCACCATCCCGTCTCTAATTACATCGTGTACGTCCTGGCTACGGAGCCACCATAGCGCTTGCACCACCGCGACATGATGCATCCGAGCTAATTAGTGGTGGGGAGGAGGAGGAGGAAGAGTGGGGTGGGGGGCTGGTGGGGGGTTGGTGGGGGGGAGGGTGATCTTTTTTGTTGTCCTGGTGTAAAAGCCGTTTCAAAACAAGGCTCTGCTCCCAGTGGGGTCACAGTCGCCCATGCTCTGATTTTTAAAGAATTATTATTATTTCTTTCTCTTTTTTTTCAGTCGGTTTTTTTCTCTCCTCTCTCTCTCTCCTCTCTCTCCCCCCTCTCTCTCTCTCTGCACAAATCGTCAAAGGAATACGCCGTGGCTCGTTCTCGCTGCGGCGAACAGGTGTGAGGGCAGTGTCTCTCTCTCTCTCCCCCTCTGTCTCTCACTCTCTCTGGGGAGGCGATGCCCACCAGAGGTCGGAGCAAACCTCTCCGTGCTCCCAGTGGCGAAAGCGGAAAACAGGCGATGCCGGCCCCAGGGGTGGGTGTTAGTGTGGGTTGTGTGTTGGCGTGGGGAGCGGTGGCGCAGCGGTTAGGGCACAGCGCCACGAACCCGGCGTTCCCAGTTCGATTCCAGCTCGCAGCCACCAACACTTGTAAGGGTTATCCGAACTGCTCCTGGGCATCTCCTAGGTCAACGCAATCTCAAACGAGGGCCTGTTGTGGTGTGTAAACATCGCCACTAGAGAGACAAACGCGGCCGGGCGTAGTGCTGGCCACCCACCTCTTCGTGTGCCGTTCCGGCCTTCATAGGTAGTCGCTAACAGCACTTGTCTCAAAAAGTCTGTGAAGGCTACACGGGGGGTCTTTGTCTTGTGTGTTGGTACTTGCTGAGGCATTGTTGGCCCAAATTGGCGTATCGGTACCATCCAGGGTGGCAAATGTTAACCGTTTTTTTTTTGTTGAAACAATCTTACGAATTTTTGTTTATGGTACCAATGTACACCGCGGGAGATTAATTTTATTTAACGAGAAAAAAATAGGTAACAAAAAAAACAACGGTCACCGTAAGTTTGTTCGATAAGGCAATCTATAATTGTGTTAATAAAACAAGGGCACTAATGCGACACGAAACATCTGCCAAATGTGAGAATGAATGGGGATGTCGTGCGGCTATCCAACAGTCAAGCACGCGGCGGCTCTTCTCCGGCCGTGGCGGGCACCGCCCTTGCCTCGCGGGTGGTGGTCGCTGGCGAAATTCGCCACCTCAAGCGGAGCCGACCCACCGGGCGACCCACCCCGTGCGTGGCTCATGGGGCCCTGAATGTGTGCGCAGAGGGAACGTCCTTCATTCGCGCATCAATACAAATTAAACACGGAGAGGGAGATTTCCAAAGCGTGCGGTTAACTACCCCCCCCCCCCCCCCACTTAAACACCCACATGATAATATATTATTTATATATTTACATCCATCATCTTTAAATAGACCCGTGAAGGCGTCGGTAAAGTAGGTGTTATGAGCCGAGCCGTGGTCTGGTGTGGACGGTGGGAGCCTGCGCGTGCGCGTGGGAAGCGGTAGCGCTGTGGTTCGTGCACCTCGCTACGATCCCGGCGACCCGCGCACAACCCAACCCAGTAGCGAATAATTGAAACGGTCCTGGACCTCCCCCTCGGTCGGCTCAGCCTTTAATGAGTACCTGATGCGGTATGTGAAACAAAATCACCGGGGGAGACAAAGGCGGCCGGGCGTGGGGCTGGCCACCCACCCGCACGTGTGCCGCGCCGGCCTTCATAGTTAGCAACAGTTGCCCCAACAGACTTCGTTGGCTACACGAGGTGGTCTTTGTTTTCACTTAAAATCTGCGCTGCATAAGTGATGCGCTGTATAAGAGCGCACGATGCACTTTACCCTGACCCCATGGCTTGATGTGACCGTCGCGGTATGGGTCGTTGTTGGCTCGCTGGATGGGTAGATGGGAGGGTGAGTTGGGTGGTGGGGTGGATTGGGAGGGTGAGTTGGGTAGTGGGGTGGATTGGGAGGGTGAGTTTGGTGGTGGGGTGGATTGGGAGGGTGAGTTGGGTGGTGGGGTGGATTGGGAGGGTGAGTTGGGTGGTGAGGTGGATTGGGAGGGTGAGTTTGGTGGTGGGGTGGATTGGGAGGGTGAGTTGGGTGGTGGGGTGGATTGGGAGGGTGAGTTGGGTGGTGGGGTGGATTGGGAAGGTCAGTTGGGTAGTGGGGTGGATTGGGAGGGTGAGTTTGGTGGTGGGGTGGATTGGGAGGGTGAGTTGGGTGGTGGGGTGGATTGGGAGGGTGAGTTGGGTGGTGGGGTGGATTGGGAGGGTGAGTTGGGTGGTGGAGTGGATTGGGAGGGTGAGTTGGGTGGTGGGGTGGATTGGGAGGGTGAGTTGGGTGGTGGTGTGGATTGGGAGGGTGAGTTGGGTGGTGGGGTGTATTGGGAGGGTGAGTTTGGTGGTGGGGTTGATGGTTGCCGCGACTGGAGGTTGGGTTGGTTGAGGGTTGGGGGAGTGCAAGGAGGGGTCCTGATCGAGTGGCTGTGGATGCTACGCGACGCTGAGCCACTGTGATGATGGGGCCCATGTCCATCGGCTCTGCGCGTTGTTTTGTGATGCTGCTGCGTTGGCAGTAGTGCGCAAATAAAAAACAAATGGGACACATTCGTCATTAGCACCGTGGACTTACAAATACAATATAGGACACACATTATTTTGCGTCCTAAGCTGAACGTGATTTTTTTCTTCCTTTCAAGGCTATGCGTCGAGTGCTGTGGTCTATGCAGCGCATGTAAACACGCGTGTTTACACGCGTGTTTACATGCGTGTCGTGTGTCTGCGTGGCGGCCCGTCATGACACCTGTGCGTGCATTTATTTATTTATTTGCTCGGCCCTATTCACCGTCATCCCTCTCGGGCGTACGCAAGCGGTGCGCAGAAGCGCGCTGGGTGCCGATGTGGCTAACGTGGGAGTGCGTGTGTGTGTGTAAGTGCCTGCCACTGTGTGTGTGTGTGTGTGAGCGTTTATTAGCGTGTGTGTGTGGAAGTGCCTGTCACTATGTGTGTGTGTGAGCGTGTGTGTGTGTGGAGGGGGGGGGCGCAGTAGTGTAGCGGCTAGAGCGCTGCGCTACGAACCCGACCACCCGAGTTCGATTCCCGATTATCTGAACTGCTGCTGGGGCCTGCCCTAGGTCAACTTAGCCTCAAGTGAGTACCTTGTGTGGTGTAATGTGTGAACATCGCAACTAGGGAGACAAAGGCGGTCGGGCGTGGTGCTGACCTCTCACCCCCTCTTGTACTGTGCCGGCCTTCAGAGGTGCTCGCTAACAGTACGTGTGTTGAGTGCGTGGGCAGTGGCTCGTGTGCGTGTGAGAGCGCGCGCGTGTGTGTGTGTGTCAGTCTCTGTGTGTATGTATGTGTCAGTCCGTGTGTATGTGTGTGTCAGTCCCTGTGTGTCTGTGCTTCACCTGGGATGGGTATCTCTGACACACGCTCTCACAGAAACTCACACACGCACATGTACACACACACACGCGCGCGATGTGCTTCTGTGCACATCCGGGCAGTTGGCCGGTGATATGCAGTATGCATACACAGTACACTGCTGTGAGACGATAGACTGTATTGGAGACCCTTAGGCTGAAGCAGGCGGTGCAGTCGCGACCAGGGTTAGACATTGACGAAAGCGCAGACAACGCGCGCGCACACAAAGACAAAGATCCCCCGTGTAGCCTTAACGGACTTGTGGGGCAAGTGCTGTTAGCGAACACCTATGAAGGCCGAGACGGCACCCAAGTAGGTGAGTGGCCAGCACCAGGCACACGCAGACACTCACACACTTATCGACACGCGCACACACTCACGCACTTATCGACACGCGCACATGCGCGCAGCGCTACCCCAAATAACATCGCAACCATAGCAGCGCAGGTAGGGGGTGTTCAGCACGGGAGACGCGAGAAGACGGCGTCACGCACACCGACATTGCCACAGTGAGACACGGGCCAGCGAAACACGGAATAGCGAGACACGAACAAGCAACAGCGAAACACGGGACGTTGAGACACGGGACGTGGAAACTCGGGACAGCACGGGACCCCGGGCGCTGACCCCCCCCCCCCACCCCGCACTGACCATCGTCTTCACGGGCACGTGGAGCCGAGGGGCCGAGACGTCGGCCTCTCCGCCGAGCTGGAAGCCCTTGGACCGAACCCAGAACTTAAATTTGGCGTTGTCTCCGGACGCCGCCTCGCCTCCGCTCAGTAGCTGCACGATGCGTTGGTACTTCTTGCGCGTGACCGTCTTTGTCTTCCCGGCGTCGCCGTACGTGCGCAGGCACCATTCCTGGAAGGAGCGGAAAGTGCCGCTTCGCCGCCGCCAGCGCGGCCCGCTCGGCGCCACCGCCACCGCCTTGGCGTCACCCAGGGATGAGGAGCGGTGTTCGGACATGTCCCTCCCTCTCCTCCCTCCCTCCGTCTCTCCCACACTCTCTCACCCTCTCTCGCCCTCTCTCTCTCTCCCGCTCCTCGCTCGCTCGCCGCTCGCCCTCCGCGTTGCACCTGCCCGAGCGCGAGCCTCCTCCCGTCCGTCTTTCTCTCCCCCCCTTCCTTGTGCTGAGCCCCCTGCGCTCCCCTCGCTTCTCCACGCCTCTCCCTCCCGCCCGCCCGCCCTCTCTGGGTGCTCACGGCGGCGGTGGCAGCAGCAGTCGCGCTGCTTCCACGCAGAGAAGCAGCAGCAGCGACGACGATGGTGACGATGGTGCTGCTTCTGCTGCTATAAAATATTCTACAAATGCTCGCAGGAGTGTTAATTGCCTCTGGGTCAAGCACAGACCCTCTACCTCCTCCTGCTTTCTCTCCGCCCACCTCCAAAAATATTTACCAAATGAATAACGGTCGCCAAATGTTCGAATCGAAGGCGAGAGAGGGGACACGCTGGAGAGAGGCGCGTGGCGCTGATGAGAGAACGAGCGAGAGAGGAGGAGGGTCGCGGGCTGCCTGGGTCGGTGCGCCGCGCAGGACATCCCCGTTGCGGCGGGACCCGGGTAGGAGGATGTGGAAGGCGGAGGAGGTGTATGTATGGCTGGGCTGGGGGAGGGGCCATGGGCTTCCCTCTCCCATCCTCCTCCCCCCCACATACAACCCTACACCCCCCCCCCCATTCCTACCATCCCCTCCACCAAACACCCCCCCCCCGCCCCCTCGAGTACGCGCCACCCATCCATAGACCGCTGCTCCGTCTCGCCTCCCACGATCTCCCCCCCACCTCTCTCCACCCCCCACCCCATCCCGGCCTCTCCCCTAATTCCACCCACGAACACCGCCACGGCCCCCCCCCCCCACCGAGCTCCGTGCTCTTGCAGCGCTCGATTGGAGGACGGAGCCAAAGTTTCTGTGGTTACGGCCAATCAGCCGCGCCTGTCCCGGCTGTCCCATTTAGGAATGCTCGCCGCTCGCCGCCACAGCCACAGCCGCCACTGCGGCTGCATTGCCGAGTCACTGCGCGCTCGATTCGGCCGCGGGTGCAGCGGCGGCAGCAGCAGCAGCAGCGCCCTGGAGCGCGCCGACCCCGGCGCGTGCACGTGTGCGCTGTCTTTGGAGCGGTGGCGCAAGCGGTTAGCGCGTTTGGGCTACGAACCCCGGGCGACCCGAGTTCGATTCCGGCTCACGACCAACAACAGTGGCGAATGTCTGAGCTGGTGCTGTGTCTCCCCGTTAGGTTGACTCATCCCCAAAATGAGTACCTGGTGCGGTCTGTAAACATCGCCACTGGTGGTCCTGGCTACCCACGCCCTGGCGTGCCGTTCCGGCCTTCATAGGTGCTCGCTAACAGCACTTGCCCCAACATTATGTTAAAGCTATACGGGGGGGCTTTGTCTTCGTTTGGAGCGGTGGCACGGCGGTTAGCGCACTGCGCTGCGAACCCCACCGTGCGATTTTGATTGCCGCGCTTGTGGCCAACATCGGTGGCGAATATCTGGAACGGTTCCGGGGCCTCTTCTAGGTCGACCTAGCCTTAAATGACCCCTTTTGTGTGGTGTGTGTGTGTACATCACTACTGGGGAGACAAAGGCGACCGGGCGTGGCGCAGAGTGTGCCGGCTACACGGGAGCGGTGGGACGGTATTGTGCACCAGTGTCCGATAGCGCGACCCGGCAGGTGTCCTTGTGTGTGCTCATTCAGTCCAGGCAGGGATAGATACAGTATCTAATAAATACTGCACGCGTGGTGTGCTCTGGTGCCGCATGTGACGCTGTGTGGGCACACGTGCGCACTCTCGTGGTGTCCCGTAGCTGATGAGATTTTTTTGCGAGGCGAGGAGGGCAATTAGCCCCCGCGCCTTTCGGAAAGCAGCGTTCGTACAACGTCGTCACGCAATCACACAGAATCACGCACATGCACAACCACGCGTGCATATTCACACACATGCCCAATCAGACGTGCACAATCACACATAATCACACATGCACAATCACACATACACAATCACACACATGCACAACCACGCGTGCATATTCACACACATGCCCAATCAGACGTGCACAATCACACATAATCACACATGCACAATCACACATACACAATCACACACATGCACAATCACACATAATCACACATGCACAATCACACACATGCACAATCACACACATGCACAATCACACATAATCACACATGCACAACCACGCATAATCACACATGCACAATCACACACATGCACAACCACGCATGCACAATCACACATACACAATCACACACATGCACAATCACAAAGATCCCCCGTATAGCCTTAACAGACTATCGGGGCAAGTGCTGATTGCGAGCACCTTTGAAGGCCGGAATGGTACACGAGGGGGTGGGTGGCCAGCAACACGCCCGGCCGCCTTTGTCTCCCCAGTAGCGATGTTCATACACCACCCCATGTACTCATTTGAGCCTAAATCGACGTAGGGGAGGCCCAGGACCGCTTCAAATAATCATCACTGATGTTGGCCGTGAGCGCGAATTCAACTCGAGTCGCCCTATACCACCACACTACCGCTTCCCCCACTCGTACACAAACACGCGCGCGCACGTGTGCACACTCACACATGCCCACAATCGTACGTACAGTGCAATACGCACGCACACACGGGGTAACACGTCAGTGTCGCTACGATTATTTTTCGCTTTGCACGGGGATCGGCCGAGAGCGGGTACCGGGAGCGGCACCCTTCCAAAATAAAAGCCTCGCCCCCCCCCCCCACCCCCGGACCTCCTCCCCCCCCCCATCGCCCCCCCCCCTCCCATGCGCGGCCCGTTGTCACCACTCCGAAGTCAGGGAACGAGAGCGCTAATTTAAAGCGACGCGTGACCAAGGCAGCGGCGCGTCGGCTGTCGGGCTGCGGGAGAGGAAACACAAAAACAGATAAAATCGCACGAACATCGCGAGGAAGGAACCGGTGGAAAAAAAATTGTTGTTATTTTAATTGTAAAAAAAATTGCTGTGATTTTCACAAGACGCATCTGCGTGCACGCGCGGCTTTTGCAAAAGCGAGGGCTTCTATTTTGTAATGTCAGGGGCCAGCTCTGTTCCGTGGTGCGAGGCGCTCTCTCTCTGTGAGCAGCAGCAGTCGAAGCAGCAGCAGCAGCAGGAGACGGAGATCGCGAATGAGCGCTGCGACGTCCTCGCGGGGAATCCAACGAACTCGGCTGCCCTGTTTGTATATAAAAAGAAAAGATACAGGTGCAGCCTTGCAATTGTCTGCTCACGTCACTGCTGTCGGAAGGACCCTCCGCTCGATTTCGTTTTCGAGCGACAGTGCCACAGTTTTTTTTCCGAAATGATAGGAAAGGAGAGAAACTTCACCATTCCCAAGCCAGGACAGACGAACTCCCCTCCGTGCCGTTCAGTGGCCGATCAAGTCTCCCATCTCCCTCGCTCCTCTCTCGTGGTACAGCCGTCAGTCTGCCTGCAACCCCGCCCCTCTCAACGCCCTCGGTTGCAGTTTGGGCAAACGGTGTACCGTGGAATGAAGGTTGAGAAGCACTGCTCTCGCCTCGTCCTGTTCCACAGTGGCCAGGCGTCTTGTGTGTGAGTGCCCCACACTTTACCCCACACCGTTCGCGACCCGCCATCTGTATGCGGTGATCTGCCAGCCCTCGCTTAGAGGCTACCACGCGCGTAGCCGCCACCGCCCTGTTGTGACCTGCAGTGTGGTGAGCCGGTGAGTGACTGGCTGAGTCCACCTGGCGGAGGCCCAGGACCAATTCAGATACTCGTCACTGGCGTTGGTGGCCGTGAGCGGGAATCGAACTCGGATGGTCGTGTTTGTAGTGCGGCGCGCTAACCGCTGCGCCACCGCTCCCCACGCACGCACACGAGATGGAGTGGTCACGCAGTGGTTATTGCACTGTACTATGATCCCGTGCCACCTGAGTTCGATTTCCCAGCCACGGCTAATATTAGCGGTGAATGATGCCATGCTAATCCTGGGCTTCCCGTGGGCCTCCGCTAGATCGACTCGGCCTTTAATGTGGTACCCGGTGCGGTTTGTGACGAACACGTCAGCACCGGAGAGATACCTCGTCTGCGAGAGGTTATAGCCCGACAACCCAAGACGACTCGCGCGCACAAGTCGCCTTTTGCGGAGCATTCGCTAACAGCACTTGCCCCCCCCCCCCCAGCAAATCTGCACGCCTATACGGGGGATCTTTGTCTTTGGTGCTCTGTGTGTGTGTGCTAAAGGAAGAGAAGATCAGCGGTCGCCCCGATAGCGCTGCGTGCGGCGTGCGAGATAAAGACGGCGCTAAATCGGGGCTCTCCGCCTCTCGTGAGATCGCTCCGAGCCTCGCCCCACGGACCCCCCCCCCCCCCCGGCACGCCTCTCCAGCGCGCTACGGCGTTGACATGGTCCGCTCCCGGCTCTCCCCCCACACCTCACATCACCACCTTTAGCCAATTAGTTCGATTATTTTGCTGCTCTACGTTTCCACGTGATAATAAGCTGATAGATCAGTGGGCTTTACCTGGGAAAATGAAAAAAGAATAGTTTTGTTTTATTTGTGTACGTTTTGTAAGTGATTTGTTTAGCTTCCCTATACTTTGCACTCTCCGTCGTGTTTTTTTATATTGTTTATTGTTGTAAAGTTTTGACCCGCCCCTACTGGACATCTGTAAAAAAAGAGCTTTATAGCTAATCTGATTCCTCCGGTGTTAATACATATTCTGATTCAATGAAGACAATTCCCTGCCACGGAATCACACCGAATGCTCCCAATCTCGCCGGATCTGGGAGGCTAAATATGGTTGCGCCTACGTGCGAGCGAGTAAGACACGATAATAGCATCATCCAGAAATTGATTCTCTTGAATGTATCTGCGCGGGAGCTTTGAATGTGGAAATGGTGATAAAAAATCTCTAATGCAGTACCCTGCTCAAAAGGAGGTCTTGAGACCCTGCGAGACGTCGCGTTGATAAATCGTTACGCGCGATTCAAGGTCGTTCACAACAGTCACGAATGCATCCATAATAGAGGGGTTTTTTATAGTTAGATCGCGTAAAAATATAAATGTTGTGTCGTTAAAACCCGCCACCACCCGACACAGCCAACTAGTAAGGGTTGTCACGTCAACAGAACGTGGTCAATTCGTCACTAGTACAGCACACCGGTGTGTTGGAGAGCCAAGCCACAACATTGACAATCTGAGTACGACGTTTCGCCAGTAATTACAACTAGCTTCATCAGGCGACAGCCAGATTTGTCCGCCTGTTTCGTTCCTTATATATAGACGCAGATGTGGTGACCACGCTTCTGTGCTCTTGTGCAAAGTGGGGGGGGGGGGGGTTAATGAACTGCGTGTGGTGTTACCTTTGAATCTCTGCATAGTTTGAGGAACGCCAGTGAAGACAACAGTTTCATCTGCTTAATTTGGAGTTTCTCCAATTTTCTGGTTTGAAGAAAAGTCTCGTCCCCATAGAGGTGAGTCAGTTTAACACGTAAACTCACGTAGGCACTCCACTGTTGTTGTTGATGTTGTTGTTGTTGGTGAACCCTCATTCGCCCACTGCTGTGGCAGAGGGACGCTGTGTGTGTCTGCGTGCCAGGGTGTCGCGCCTGGACACGCGCGCGCTGCAATGGAAAAGCCGTGACCTGCGGCTCGATTGACTCGTTCAATGTTTTAGTGACATCTCCCCCCCCCCCCACCCACTAAAGAGGGCATCGCGATGCTTTGCGGTATAAATGCGACGAAATCAAGACGCATGTGAAAAATATCAAAACACGAGGGGACATCCTCAAGGAAACGCTGCTGCTGCTGCATTGGTTCACGTGAGTTCGCATCAATCCAGACGGACAAAGACAAAGATCCCCCGCATAGCCTGAGCAGACTGTTGGGGCAAGTGCTGTTAGCGAGCACCAATGATGGCCGGCACGGCACACGAGGGGGTGGGTGGCCAAGACTTGCGCCCGGCCGCCTTTGTCTCCCCTAGTGGCGATGTTTACACACCATTGCACCAGGTACTCGTTTGAGGCTGAGTCGACCTAGGGGGAGGCCCACGACCGGTTCAGATAATCGTCGCTGGTGTTGGCCGTGAGCGGGAATCGAACTCGAGTCGCCGGGTTTGGTAGTGCAACAATCGCTACACCACCGCTCCCCACGACGGACACACAGACACACACTCACACAGACACACACTCACACAGACACACACACACGGGCACACACACAGAAAGCTGACGATACGCGCTCAGGACCAGGTCTCACACTCGCCTGATTCATGCGAGGGGCGTTGGGGAGGCAGGGTTGGAGGGTCACGATGGGGTGGAGGGGATCTCACACTCGGATAAAGACAAAGCTCCCCCGTGTAGCCCACACCGACTGTTGGGGCAAGTACTATGAGCGAGCATCTCATAAGGTGTGGTCGGATATTCACCCGTCTGCCTTTGTCTCCGGAGTGGCGATGTTTATACATCGCAGCAAGCACAGTACTCATTTGAGGCTGAGTTGACGTAGAGGAGGCTCGGCACCAGTTCAGATAATCGTCAACGGTGTTGATTCGCTGTGAGCGGGAATCGAACTCGGGTCACCGGGTTCGTAGCGCAGAGCGCTACTAACCCGGCAACGCTCTCACTCCACCAACACTCTATAAACATTTTTTTATTTTGCCGTGTAAGGCCCCACTGAGCTATTTGGCTCTTTTTCAGAAGCGGCCTGGCTTATCAGCAGCATCATCATCATCACGCCGGAATGTATTGCAGCCAAAACACTCTGAAACGGACGTTGATTCTCCACTCACCCCGCACTCTTACTGCTCGCTGATCCCTCTGCTGCCCGCGTCTGTCAGGGGCTTGGGGAAGAGAGGAGCGCGCAGCGAGTTATTGTTAGGATGTGTGAAGCGCCGGAATGAGCGCAGAACGGAGTGTTATAATCCTTTCTTTCCCATCTGCGCTCTAACCCGAGCGAGCAAAGACTCATTTGGAGGCTGCTATGTGCGAATTCGCTCGCAAATGAGCGCGCCAATAAGCCCCGGGGCTACGCGGGGCGCGCGCACGCAGCAAGGAATCTCGAGTCACGCCGAACGCGTTTCTTGGGTGGTTCGCTCGCCGGCCGACCGGTGCAGGAGGAGGTGGGGGTACCCTGAGCAGTGGTCAAGAGCGGAGAGCGAGAGGACGTCCTCGATGTGGTGAGAATTATCCCTGGAAACGTCGCCTGTTATTTTATACACGAGGCTTTTTTATTTTCTTATTTAGTGACACGCAATGTTGTTGTTGTTGACGAATTGTGTTTGTTGCTGCACGGTTTGGCTACGTACGGTGCGAAAGAAGTTCAGCTTACATACACGGTGAACTTCGTTCGCACCGCATGTAGCCAAGCGCGCTAATCGGAGGTGTTTGTTTGTGTGCACCACTGCCAACACGCCAGCAGCAGCAGCGTCACTAAATCATGTGCGTCTCAAATGACCCTTAACGATCGGGTCGCTTCCCCGCGCTGTTGTTCGACGTCTCAAGATTGCCGGTGAGATGATTTCAACGCGTTCTAAGTAGAGTTTGCTAGTGGCCGTATTCGTCATCATCATTATCATCATCAGCAGCAGCAGCCATTGTCTATCCACTGCTGGATGAAGGCCACCTTCCCACGCGGTCTCCATCCCTCACTTCGCATCGTAGGGGTCGGAGGTCGCCCACAGTCTTCTGGCGTTCCTCCTCGTCGCGAGAGAGGCGCGAGCGACGCGTGGCGTCACATCGGCGAGCGATCGATGAACTCCCGGCCAGAGACGCAACTTCGCATCGTTCCGAGCAACACGTGGGAGAGGAGCAGCACCACCGGTGCGTGCAGCCGCGGTGGGTCAGCACTGTGCAGGCTGTGACCTTTACCTTGCTATCGTAAAATATATCGCGTACCACAGCACGAGCTCGATACGAGCCTCACATGCCGGGGGATAGCACCCCCCCCCCTCAACTCCCACACAAACCCCATCGCTTCTCCCGGCCCGCGACCCCACACCTCCTCCTACCCTCCACTCTCTGCCCTCCCCCAAACCAAATCGTCCGCAGCTACGTGGCCGCGCGTGTGGCCCCGCGTGTCCCCGCGTGTAATTGCCCCGGCTCCGCGTGGCGGTGACAGATACCGATGGGCCCCTTCGTGCTGCGCGGCGTGCGGGCTACTGTATGAGCTTCCTTGGGGGGACGCGGCGCTCTCCTGTGAGGGTCGCAGCGCTGCTCAGCGCAGCGAGCGCTGCGTACCTCGCAAAGGCGAGAGAGCTGAGATGGGCGCATTCGCTTAATCCCATGCCAGGTAAGTGCCCCCCATAATAATGAGAATAATTATCAGCCCTGTAGCGATGCACTGCTGGATGAAGGCCTCGCTCACCACGCCGTGTCGGTCGCGGGGCTTGTTAGATCCCCACACTTCACGGCGCTGCTCCGCGCGGGGTTCGTGCAGCGGAGTCCAGGGATCTGGTTCGGGTCTCACGCGTCACTGGTGGTCGTCGTGGCTGGGAATCGAACTTGGGTTTGTTGGGTTTGTCGTGTATTGCGCTAATTGCTGCGCCACCGTCACCACTTAACCCCCCCGCCGCCCCCGTCCCTCTGAAATGTTCAGAGGTAGAATGCGGCCGGGGCTCAGATTCTGGGTTCGAATCCCGGCTGTGGTTAAACCGGCATCTCAAGGCTCCTCTTCCCGGAGGATCCGGTAATATTAGAAATACAATAGAACTCTGCACATTGTTTATTAGCACAGCCTTGGGGGCCGTCCATAAATGACGCCACGCGATTTTGGACGATTTTTGAACCCCCCCCCCCCTCGTCACACGGCGTCACAAGAAGTCAGACCGCCCCCTCAAATGTGACGTCACAAAGCTCTGCCTCCCCCCCCCCCAAAAATAGAAAACACGCTTCAAATCGCTTTAAACTATTGTCATTGTAGTGCGTATTTAATGTGGCGCTGCACTCTGATGTTGTAGGAGAACATTTTTCTTAAAAAGTCGATTTAATTAAGTAGAACGTGTCTATATTCATTTAAACCCCCCCCCCCATCACACATCGTCACAAATGTGTGACTCCCCCCCCCCCAGGTGCGTGACGTCATTTATGGACGGCCCCTTATGATAGAACATAGTTAACTAGTTTGTTTACCCGTCCTAGGACGGAAGCTGTAATATTTAAGAACATTTTTAACAGTCAAGGAGTTCAGGCCCAACACGTCGGCCATGGCTGGTCATTGTTTTGATGCGGCTGGCTCACACGAAATCGATTTCTCTAAGACGAAGGTACTTTGTAAGCCCACTGGCTATCAACAAAGATTCGTTCATGAAGCCATCCACATATATAGACACAGATACAATTTCAACCGAGAGGATGGGTACAAACTTGGCAATCATTGGAAAGACGTCATCAACCAGTTTAAGTCTGAACTGGCTGTGATGTTCCCATCCTGCCACCTTCCGTAGTGATTTTTTTAGAATTTTTCCCCGTGGCTTCGGCTCTCCGATTTCACATCAACAGGTTGAATTTCTCGCTGTGGCTCTCCGATCTTACATTAACATGCTAATTAATGACACTAACATGCTAATTTATGGCATTAACATGCTAATTTATGGCATTAACATGCTAATTTATGACACTAACATGCTAATTTATGGCATTAACATTCTAATTTATGACATTAATATGCTAATTTATGCCACTAACATGCTAATTTATGACATTAACATGCTAATTTATGACATTAACATGCTAATATATGACACTAACATGCTAATTTATGACATTAACATGCTAATTTATGCCATTAATATGCTAATTTATGGCATTAACATGCTAATTTATGGCACTAACATGCTAATTTATGACATTAACATGCTAATTTATGACATTAACATGCTAATTTATGACATTAATATGCTAATTTACGGCATTAACATGCTAATTTATGACACTAACATGCTCATTTATGACACTAACATGCTAATTCATGACATTAATATGCTAATTTATGACGTTAATATGCTAATTTATGACATTAATATGCTAATTTATGACATTAACATGCTAATTTATGACATTAATATGCTAATTTATGGCATTAACATGCTAATTTATGACACTAACATGCTCATTTATGACACTAACATGCTAATTTATGACACTAACATGCTAATTAATGACATTAATATGCTAATTTACGACATTAATATGCTAATTTATGACACTAACATGCTAATTTATGACACTAACATGCTAATTTATGACATTAACATGCTAATTTATGACACTAACATGCTAATTTATGACATTAACATGCTAATTTATGACACTAACATGCTAATTTATGACACTAACATGCTAATTTATGACATTAACATGCTAATTTATGACATTAACATGCTAATTTATGACATTAACATGCTAATTTATGACATTAACATGCTAATTTATGTCATTGACATGCTAATTTATGACATTAACATGTTAATTTATGACATTAACATGTTAATTTATGACATTAACATGCTAATTTATGACATTAACATGCTAATTTATGACACTAACATGCTAATTTATGACATTAACATGCTAATTTATGACACTAACATGCTAATTTATGACACTAACATGCTAATTTATGACATTAACATGCTTATTTATGACATTAACATGCTAATTTATGACATGAACATGCTAATTTATGACATTAACATGCTAATTTATGTCATTGACATGCTAATTTATGACATTAACATGTTAATTTATGACATTCACATGTTAATTTATGACATTAACATGCTAATTTATGACACTAACATGCTAATTTATGACATTAACATGCTAATTTATGACACTAACATACTAATTTATGACATTAATATGCTAATTTATGTCATTGACATGCTAATTTATGGCATTAACATGCTAATTTATGACACTAACATGCTAATTTATGACACTAACATGCTAATGTATGACACTAACATGCTAATTTATGACACTAACATGCTAATTCAAGACACTAACATGCTGATTTATGACATTAACATGCTAATTTATGACATTAACATGCTAATTTATGACACTAACATGCTAATTTATGACACTAACATGCTAATTTAAGACATTAACATGCAAATTTATGACACTAACATGCTAATTTATGACATTAACATGCTAATTTATGACACTAACATGCTAATTTATGGCATTAACATGCTAATTTATGACACTAACATGCTAATTTATGACACTAACATGCTAATTTATGACACTAACATGCTAATTTATGGCATTAACATGCTAATTTATGACATTAACATGCTAATTTATGACATTAATATGCTAATTTATGACATTAACATGCCAATTTATGACATTAATATGCTAATTTATGGCATTAACATGCTAATTTATGGCATTAACATGCTAATTTATGACACTAACATGCTAATTTATGGCATTAACATGCTAATTTATGACACTAACATGCTAATTTATGACACTAACATGCTAATTTATGACACTAACATGCTAATTTATGGCATTGACATGCTAATTAATGACACTAACATGCTAATTTATGACATTAATATGCTAATTTATGGCATTAACATGCTAATTTATGACACTAACATGCTAATTTATGGCATTAACATGCTAATTTATGACATTAACATGCAAATTTATGACACTAACATGCTAATTTATGACATTAACATGCTAATTTATGGCATTAACATGCTAATTTATGACATTAACATGCTAATTTATGACATTAATATGCTAATTTATGGCATTAACATGTTAATTTATGGCATTAACATGCTAATTTATGACACTAACATGCTAATTTATGACATTAACATGCTAATTTATGACACTAACATGCTAATTTATGACATTAATATGCTAATTTATGACACTAACATGCTAATTTATGACATTAACATGCTAATTTATGACATTAATATGCTAATTTATGACACTAACATGCTAATTTATGGCATTAACATGTTAATTTATGACACTAACATGCTAATTTATGACATTAACATGCTAATTTATGACATTAACATGCTAATTTATGACACTAACATGCTAATTTATGACACTAACATGCTAATTTATGACACTAACATGCTAATTTATGACATTAACATGCTTATTTATGACATTAACATGCTAATTTATGACATGAACATGCTAATTTATGACATTAACATGCTAATTTATGTCATTGACATGCTAATTTATGACATTAACATGTTAATTTATGACATTCACATGTTAATTTATGACATTAACATGCTAATTTATGACACTAACATGCTAATTTATGACATTAACATGCTAATTTATGACACTAACATACTAATTTATGACATTAATATGCTAATTTATGTCATTGACATGCTAATTTATGGCATTAACATGCTAATTTATGACACTAACATGCTAATTTATGACACTAACATGCTAATGTATGACACTAACATGCTAATTTATGACACTAACATGCTAATTCAAGACACTAACATGCTGATTTATGACATTAACATGCTAATTTATGACATTAACATGCTAATTTATGACACTAACATGCTAATTTATGACACTAACATGCTAATTTAAGACATTAACATGCAAATTTATGACACTAACATGCTAATTTATGACATTAACATGCTAATTTATGACACTAACATGCTAATTTATGGCATTAACATGCTAATTTATGACACTAACATGCTAATTTATGACACTAACATGCTAATTTATGACACTAACATGCTAATTTATGGCATTAACATGCTAATTTATGACATTAACATGCTAATTTATGACATTAATAT